CTATTATTTGTTTGACTGTTAGTACCTGGAAAGGAAACAGGGTTAGGTATTACATCTACTGATAACCTAGCCTGTTTAGTCACAGTGGCTATTATTGCTGCGGCACCTGTTGTTGTTGCTGCGGTTGCACAGGTAGTTCTGCAATTGGAGCTATCCCTAAAAAAGGATTTGTGGCAAAGACTTGGTTAATCTTTGTCATTCCCTCCATTAATTTGCCCATCTGGTCTGTCAATTGACCAACCTGACGACGCAAATTATTTCCCCCATTGCCGTTTTGTCTTTGCCCATTAGAATTTGGTTGGGATGGCTGAGACTGTTGGGAGTTATTGGAAGCAGATTGGTTGTTTCTGTTTCCATATCTCCTATTTCCCTGAGGATTCCTTCTCCATTGGGAATTGCCTTGGTTCTTATTAACCCAGGGGCGTTTATTCCCATTGGCATTGGATTTTTCAGAGTTATTAGAGGAATTTGCAGAATTGCTTCCGGCATTTTCCTGTTTCTGAGGTTTTGGAGTTTTCAAAACCTCGGAATAGGTCCTCTTTTTCTGTTGGGTTTCTAAACCTAACTGAATTTTTGTCTCTGACACCATTTTATCACCAGGTTTCTTAACCTTTGGCTGATTTTCGTCATGTGCATGGTGTATAGTATACAATTTCATGCACTGACTGACTAGCCATTCTAATGGCAACTTACAATCGTAATCTCTTGCGAGATTCATTTGTATGTTTACCGGCATGGCATGAAAATACAGATCTTTGAAGTCTGTGCTTTCATACCTGGGTTTCCTTTGGGCCACGGAGTATGCATTTTTAAGAATTATTAAAAATTCTCTGGGGCTTTGATCTGGACGGCACTTTAAATTATAAAGCGCCCTCTTTGCAGAGGCAATGGTTTTATACTTACCATATTCCATGATTATTTCATATTTCATCTTGGACCAGGACATTAACTGTATAGCTTGAAGACTTTCTAGATAAACACGGCACATTGAATCAAAGGTCCATGTAATGAACCATTTCTTATGAATGTCATCATACATGCCCAATGAATTCATTGCTCTATCATAATTTTCCAGATGTTCAGATATGTTTCCTGAACCTCTAGAAAATTGTGGGACAGTCTCTCTAAGGAATTTGATGACCTTTGGTGTTTCATAAACAGGCGTCGTTGATTACGACCTCTGTTTCTGTGTTTGGGTAAACGTCTATGCGATCTGTCTGCTGAAGAGGAATTAGACCCGTACAACAGTGCAGATGGCATATCAGTTACATGGCCTTCAGAGTGGACAGTGCAATCACTTTCACTCCCATCACTCTGAGCTTCTTGTTCACTGTCACAATTCTGATCAGCATCAGAATCCTGCCAGTGTACAGAACCATGTCTGTTTTCATTCCTATCACCTTGAATTGGACTCTCCCTCTCAAGTTTGGCCAAGACAGCTTTTTCAAACTGTTCTGCCCAAGATTGCCAAGATAGCTTGGTAATGTCATGAGATGGGGAATCTTGTTCCACAGGTGATTTTTTAGAATTACTCACATCTTTTCTTACAGACTGTTTTATGAAAACCTGGTTTGGTGTGGGAAAATCAGGAAATTGAAAAGAATCACTTGGGTCTTTTCCCAGTAATCCTTCACTTCCCTTTTGATATTCATCTAGCTGCATCTGTATCTGTTTTATCTGTTGATCATAATCATCCACCATTTTGTTCATTCTTTCCAGTTTATTCAAAAGGTCAGAGTTTAGAACCTGAAGGAGATTATTTTCATCAGACAAAGTTTTGAACCTTCCTTGTTCGAGCACCAGGTCTTTCTGACACTCGTCCAATTTACGTTCTATCTCATTATGCTTTTTTAACATAATAGAATAACCCAATATGAAAAACGGGCATGAGTTGGTAACAGATCGCATTGTAGACTCTTCATCTATATGGCTAAGATATTTAACCATAGGTGAATCAGCCGATCTATCATGAATTGAATCATCAACCTGTTTTTTTATTTGGAGTATCCACTCTGGATAATCAACTTTAATATTTAGATACTGATATATGATGCTTAAGGGAAAACCTTGCATTTCCGCTAACTTCTTCCCATTCTCTGATTGAGATGAAGCACTAGATTCAGCCATATTTCTATACAGTGATTTAATCTCAATACAAAACTCTTTTCTATATCAAGATTAAATTGCATGAATTACACCAATATTATTATTATATATGAAATACCATTTCAACTTAAACGATCTCAGCACCGTGCCTCCAATATGTGGGGATATTTATGGGATAATAATAGTAAACAGTTGAGAATTGCCCACTATTTCAATTCTCAGATCCCAAAGAACGTTTATCGTGTTAAGTGGAATGTATTTCATATAATTAATCACAATGTATAAAAATAGATTTTTATTTATATGACAATCAATAATTAACAAATAATATTATGTAACATGCGTGACAATAATCAATGAATATTCAGTATAAAACGATATGCAATACAAAGAAATGGGTATTACGTTTCAATGGCTAAACGGCATTATCTGTCAAGAATTCTGAGGATTTATGAGGTATCCTTAACATAGACTTTTCACAGCTAAGAACAGAATTCCTTAGAGTGCAGCGTAAGGTCGTAAAGTTTAGCAGACAGTTAGAATAACCCTTTCAATGCTGGTTAGATCTCCTAGGTAGTTAAGATCTATTCTTATGTAAATTTTAAATAAAATAACATTTAAGCCAGTTTAAATTCATTTTCTTAAACCATCCATAAGAGAATTTACCACATTATATAAGCAGATTTTTAATTTGTCTAAAAGATATCTATCTTAATTTAGAGCAAATCAATACACCTGGATAAAAACAGCGGTATGCTAACATGTGATAATATCACATCAATATATAATTATTCTTAATTCCACCTGCAGAATGGAATGTTTATAACTATATATTCTTAGTTAACTAAGATTTCTTAATATGGAAATCTGACCGTGCTTTATCCAGTCATATATAATGCTATTAATATATTTTAATTAATTTAATTTAATTAAATGAAACCAGTATAATTACCAGTTGAGTAGATATTTCATCCGATTGGTAGTCTCAGGAATTTATTTGGATGTGTCTCTGCATGGAGGTTGGAGTCCCCAAACTTCCAATTCCTCTCTTTTCTCTCCTTTGCATATCTTGCATCTGCCTCCTTCGTCTTGTATATACTATGCATTCCTGAGCTCTGGGAAAGTGGTTAGCTTACAGATAGAAATATAGTGTCTTTCTGTTAACTTGAAATAACAAAATGGAGTCTGGTCTGTTCAGAGTGACTCAGAATATACACTTTTAGTTTCTATCATAGCACAAAATGTCTGCCGATATAAATACTCTGACAACAATTATATTTACCAAATTCCACAAGCCTGTATGGGCAGAAACACGAGTCACAAACAATCCCCCAACTTTTCAGCTCCTCCTGGTAGCCTTTATCAAGGCATTTTGCACTCTTACGCACACAGCACATATCCGCAGAGCGAAGGGAGCCGCCTGAGTCAGAGCCCCAGAGGTGTCTGGCATGAGTCCCATAGGGGTTGTAGCGGAGGCCTGGTATTCCCCAGGTTAACCCCACTAGAGATCCCAGTGAGGCTCAGGAACAAGTAGTAAAAATACCATAAAGTAATAATCCCAGCAAGCAAGGTAATCCACGAATATCCCAATACAGATCCCAATGATTGGACGACACACAGCATCAGGAGCAGAACTGACTTTTAATGCACACAACTTCCTTTTAAAGCATTCTCCCATGCAAGGGAGGGATTTGCAATAATTAGTACAGTAGCCAATCCTCCACGAGTTGCCACCCACACATCCCCTCCCCTTAGTGTGACACATAATCCCCTTATACAGGACACAAATTCCCAGAGTTTCTGGATGTACCCCTAAACATAGGGGTACCCCTTTAAATGTTACATCCCCTGGTAGCCCTGATCTAGGTGAGACACATATCCAAAAATCACCCAGATCGGACCAGGGGTTCTGGAAATTTATGGAAGTACTAAAATGACCGACCGCGCTGGGTTTACCAGCCGAAAAAGGCTCCATGCGTTTTGGCCCTGCGGTCGGTCACAGAAAAGGGAATGTAACACATGAATGACTTATGTTAGGAGAGCTGGGGAGGTTTTGTGTAATTTCCTTTGTTCGTGGGATTCAAACTACCGAACGAGAAGCCGTTCGGTAGTTTGTATACGAATTGGCTGCAGTGTGGAGGTCTCACTCGGATCTAACCGAGTGTCCGATTTGGGTTCCAGACACTCGACGGCAAAACACCACTGTTCGGGAGTTTAAAATTGCCGCCGCCACGTGTTCGTCTCCCGAATGGCGGCCACCCAGAGAACAAAGGACCCACTATACGAACCACCAATTACCCGTTTGCATCATTGTTGCGAACAGTAATTGGAGGCATACTTATTATTGGGGTGGTCTGATTGTTCGGTAGTTTTACTCGCATAATAACTGCATCCCTGTGGAGGGTAGCAAGGGCTTTAGGTAGTGAGTGCGGCACATAGCCAGGCTTGGGGGCCCTCGGTACCTGGATGTCAGATACGTCAACCATGACTGATTACACTGAAACAGCGGTAAGTTATGGTCAGCGTGGTACCTGGGTGAGGCCAGCTGGGGGTCACCAAAACAAGCACAATCATTTCATGCAAAATAGGTGGTGACAAACGCTTTTGGGTTTGGTCATTTGCCATGAGCTCCTGGAGGAGCCTGCTTGCCAGCCTCCTGCCCCAGGATTATGGGCCATGCAAAATACACTGAAAAAGGCTCTGTTCGTGTTATTTTTTTTTATGTTGTTCGGGAACCGAAGAGACCACCCGGGAGCTTGTTAAGTCCAATTTACACCTTGTTACTAGTTCCATCACAGTGTTCTAATTGTTTTGCTGGATGGCCGCATTTCGTAGGAATGACCACGAGGTCTTGTCCCCGCAAACGCAGGCAGCGGTGTTTGGGCATCAATCTCCTGGAACTAAAATCGGACATTGTCATCTGAGTTCGGTTCTATGCAACTTAGAAGGGCACTGTTCGTGGAAACGTTCCCACGAACACTATGAACAAGCTCCAGGGTAGAACTATGGATTCCGTTTGGTAGTTTGTTCGTTTTTAAACTACCGAACTTGACCGACCGTTAGCACTGATTTCATGAAACTGTTTTGGGCGTAGGACCATGTGCACGGTCCGTCAAAATTATGATGTTGGTCACCCAGATCTGCGCTATCAGGGGATTTGACTTGTGTGGGATTTTCATGTGTTTCATGTGTTTTGGGGGTTTTGTTATATTGCCTGTTTCTGTACTGAGAGATAATTCAATTATATGTTGATGTGCTCAGGTAATTATCTCTCAGGCACAGGGGAGGAGTATGTTAGATGTTTGCTTGTAACTGGTCTCCTCTCAGGCACAGGGGGAAGGATTATCCTGTTTTGTGTGGGAGTGTTATGGGCATGTTTGACTGTGTCTAAACTGTATAAAAGCAGGCCATCTGGCCAGATTAAAACATTCCAGCTTGTACTCACAGAACTATGTGTCATCTGGTTACTGAGAGGGTAAAGGACTAATCACTGTTCCAGTGTGGAGGATTTAAGGGGAAAGTCCTTATAAGGCCTAGAGCTCCCAGGACTGAGTGTCCTCTAGTGCCTGGGGATTGCTAGAGTGAGTTCCCCATTCGGTTCCAGGACCCCACTCCAGCCACGGTGACTGTGGGCAGAAGTGCTGCGGTTTGTCCCCTGTTCCAGCTAGGAAGCGGTCCTTTGCAGAGGTACCCAGCCAGGGGTACAGGGAGCTCTGTTACATAGGCCATTAAAGAAGGGGATCACCCTCAGAGTATGTACAATAGAACCCAGGGCTCAACCGCACAGCCAGAGGGAGAGTGTTGCCCAACCCAGAATAAGTGCAACAGGCACAGTAGTGTGGCCCAGCAGGGGGCAATATAGCAGGCATAGTGTACCAGTAGCATATACATAGAAAGGGGGGTCACCCCATTCATAAATAGGCTTATGTTAGCACCTAAAGCACTTACCTACGGAAGAAAAAAAATCACCAAATTGTAGGAAAAACACAAAGGAGAGGCTGGCAACATAGCCAGCAGCAGTAGATGCAGTGGGGTGGGGAGGACCGTAGCACACAGCTTACGCGGTTCCAAAAAGATGGCTGCCGCGGCTGCGAAAAATCGAGCGCGGCCTACCTCGCGACATTCACGGGGTCCACGGCCATGCCGCTAGCAGTTCAGAGCTGGATATAGCTGGGGGGAAGGACACGGCTTGGGGCCGGATGACCCACTGTACTACCCAGCTGTAACTCTGGCTACGGGACAGAGCGCCGCTGGCCTCTGCCCACCAACTACCCCCAACTCCCTGCCGGGGAGCGCAAGAGAGATCGGGGATGACAGACACCCACTTGGCAACCTGGGACATAAAGGACAGAGCCGGACAACAGAAGTCACCAGGTCCAGTACATAGGCGTGTGCAGCCTATTGCATTAGGGTATGCACCCTAAAGCGCAAACACACGTGTGTGTGTGTGTGTGTGTGTATATATATATATATATATATATATATATACATACATACATACACTGCTGTGTGTGTGAGTTGGTAGTGTCCCGTGTGATAGTGCTGGCAGCGTGCTGTTGGGGTGCTGGTACTACTTATCCCGCACTAACCCCCCTCCCCATCCTTGCTACTTCCTCCCCATCCTTACTACTTATCCCTCACCAACCCCCCCTCCCGATCTTTACTACATCTCCCACACCAACCAACCTCCCTCCTCATCCTTATTAATAAGTCCCGCACCAACTTCCCTCCCCATCTTTACTACTTCTCCCGCATCAACCTCCCTCCCCATCTGTGGCGAAAGTAACCTCGCCACTGATTTTTGGAGGGCCCTGTTTGCCAGCCTCCTACCGTGACTCTGGCACCTGTGATAAAACTTGGTTTAAATCACTGTTTGTGCCTTTTTGGATTTTTATTGCCACAGTTCGAACTTTTGAAGTGGCACTTCAGACTCCCAAACAGTCGAAGTGGCCGCTATTCAACATTCTAACACGTGGTGGTGGCCATCTTGTTCTCATGGACCAAAACCGCAAATAGACTTCAGGGGGACTTAGCTGTGAATGCCCTGGAACAATTTTCGGTATGAAAACCTCGCGGTTCCCAGTCGGTCCTCCAGCGGCACTATGGAAATGTTATGGGGATTGTAACGGACCGTTTTGCACAAAAGGGGTAAAAACCGTTTAGGCGATCGGCCCCCTTTCCAGAGATGCAGGCACAGCTACTGCAGAACACCAAACTCCCGAACTGGATACAAAATAGCA